ACACTGAACAAGAAGCACAAACATCAGCACAAATCAGGACATTAGCTGCTTTAACGGCAGCTAATGCTACGCTAACAGCTAACAGCTAAGTTAGGGGGCAGCCACAGATTAACCAGAAACAGTGCGTTTAAAACAGTAAGTAGTAAGGTTTTAATATATGGACCTGAGTGAGGAATATAAGTTACAGAACAGAGAAGGAAAACAGAACCGACAGAACTGTTATCGATCGATAAGGAAACAAATCCAACCATGACACTGATTTCATCACCTCTGTTGCCAGTCATTCTAAATGTGGTTAATTAACTAATTAATGAAATAGTTAGGTCCTGAGTGACAGCTTCTGCCATCAGATGCTTTAATGTAATTGTGAGATGCCAAAATGTGAATGACGATGAGACAGGGCTGTTATTGGCTCACTGTGTCCATGGAAACGTTCTGTTTCCTGTTAGTGGTGAGAGCTTTCAAAATGCTGTTTTTATAGGAAGACCCTTGTGTTGATGTTAAAGCTCAACAACACGTCACTGTCCCTGTTCTATTCAATGTAATTACATTTATATAACAACAATTTACCACATGGGTTTTTCACAGCACTTCCCATAGTGAGGTGAAGACCCTACACATTTTGAACATGAAACCCAACGAATCCAGTTCTACCTCAGAAACTCTGGACCCACCAGTAGACCTGCAGTCTGAGAGCGAAGGGCTCTGTTTGGATGATGCGGTACCATAAGGTCTGTAAGGTCACATGGAGCTGGAGATGGAGAACCCACGCTGCACGGGGAGAACATGGAGACTCCACGCAGAAAGATCCCGGGTGTCCTCACCGGGACGTGAACCGGCGACCTTCTAGCTGTGAGGCGACGGTGCTAACCACTGAGACACCTGCAGCAGACGAAATGAAATTGTAAAATTGTTTAAAAAAAAAAAAAGAAAAGAAAAATGTAAATTGAATGACATCCTGGTCAGAGATACCTCCAAGGTTCTGTACAGTAGAACTGGAGGCCAAGGAGATGCCATCTAGAGCAGCTTTCTGGTTCCAGAGTGTGTTTCTGAGGTGTTTAGGGCCAAATGCAAGAACCTTAGTTTGTTTGGATTTAAATGAAGGAGATTCCAGGTCATCCAGGCCTTTATGTCCTTCAGACATGTTGGAGTCTGACCAGCTGATTGGTTTCATTTGACTTTATACATAAATATAACTGGGTGTCGTCTGCATAACAGTGTAAATGTCTGCAGTGCTTCCTGAACGAACTCTGCTGCAGGTGGAAGAACCATCATTAACATGAACAAACTGGAATCTGTCTGATAAATATGATGTAAACCAGTTCAGTGCAGTTCCTTTAAGTCCAGTAAACATTCCAGTCTCTGTATTCAGATGCTGTGATCCACTGGATCAGATACAGAACTGAGATCCAGTAGAACCAGTACAGAAACTAGTGAGATCCAGTAGAACCAGTATAGGGTTTTGGGGATGTGGTTCTGGATCCAGAGCAGCTTCAGTAGTGGTTTTAATACGGCAACATCCGAATCAACTTTATTGGCCAAGTGTGTACACGCTCTGTGTTTACAGTAATCAGAGTACTGAAGACAGGGTAGAAGCTGAGGAAATAGACCAGAACAACATAAATAAACTAGAGCAATCAATATTGTAAATAACAACATAAAAACAAACATTAAAGTTGTGTTAATAAACAGGTTGATGGTTCTGATACCGGAGCATTAATTAAAGAACAGTCTGGTTCTGACGGTTCTAACCGACCAGTTGCTGCTTTAGAAGAAGGTTGATTCAGACGAAATACAGACTGTAGCACACTAACACTGTGTGTGTGTGTGTGTGTGTGTGTGTGTGTGTGTTGCAGGTGTGTGATGCGGCGGCTGCGTTGTGGTAGCCAGGAGTCGTTGCTAAGCGCCGGCTGTGTGTCGTCTCTGGAGCTCAGAATGGACCAATCAGTGATCATCAAACCAGTTCACTCCTCCCTACTGGGACAGGACTACTGCTTCGAGGTACTAGTACTACACTGTACTACACACTGCATACAGGACTACTGCTTCGAGGTACAACACCACTACATCATACTACACAGAGTACTGCACTCGGCACGTCATCAGTATCATCATGGTAGAATCTGCACAACAGTTCTTTGCACTGATTGCATCTTGCACTTACTAATACTGCACTTATTCTTAACACTGTATTTATTAAATTTTCATCCTTTGTATAAATTATACATATTGTTATTGTTATTATTATGTATATGTTTCCTGCTGCTGTTCCCCTGGCATGGCGAGAAATAAAGGATTATCATATCTTATCTTACACTCTGTGAACCTGGCATTTCCATGGCGATGACCTGACCTTGTGTCTCCTAGGTAACGACCTCGACAGGCACCAAATGTTTCTCGTGTCGCTCGGCGGCAGAACGAGACAAATGGATGGAGAACCTGCGACGAGCCGTTCACCCCAACAAGGACAACAGCCGCCGGCTGGAGAACGTTCTGACAGTGTGGGTGATCGAGGCTAAGGACCTGCCCGCC